AAAAAAAAAAAAAAAATAAGTGGACTATTTACAAGTGTGAGCTACCCACCTTCAGGCCCAAACAGATAAGAAGAAGGAGAATTTAACAGAACCCAGAAGGAGATTCACTGTAGAGAGGGTTACCTTGAAAGGAGAGGCAATTTTGCAGGGAAGGAGCTGGGAGAATAAATAGCCTTTCCTCCTCTCCCTCTGATAGTCTGCTAAGGGGTCCTCATCGGCAAAATCCAGTTGGAAGAAGAGCGTGCTGATGTAGTCCATGCAGGTCAGCCTCCAGATAGAAAGTGAGGCAGAGAGGATGGCATAGATCTCAGAGAAGCAGAAGACATCCAACACATAGAGAATTCCATAAAATCATTTGTTATGCACATGTTCTTGGCATCCAACTCAGCTGACATTCAGAGAACTGAGTGACACAGTTGTAATTAAATCCTTTCTACTATCTTAACTTATTTATATGAAAAAGATTTTCTCCGTCTGAGCCCTGTCTCATTTAAGCAATAAATGAGATTCACCCAAAGGTATATGAGCTGAGTGTCAAACATTGGTCTGTTCATTTCAGATGTGTTTCCAAAATGTGATTAGAATTATCAAATGTGTAATATATTTATGAGGCTTAAATCAGTGATGAGTCATAATAATTGTAATTACGATTTAATCCAGGGGTAATTTTCCAACAGCAAGAGTGTATAGTCAAATAATTAAAACTTAATTTATATATATCTGGAGAGAGATTATGCAGTAATTAATAAAAGACTAGAGCATAAAGATATATTTTATTAGAATAAAATTATATAGAGGAAGATAAACATATAAGTTCAAGGAAAAAAGAAACAATGCAAAATTTCTCACTTTTCTGAATTTTCCCCACATATGTATTTTTGTAAATGGATGGAGATGGGCATTAAATTACTATGGTAGGTGAGATATCAGCGAAAATGGCAGAGAACGGAATTCTCAAAGTCTGCCCCTTCACAAAAGCAAGGAATAAATAAACCAGCAAAATTGTCAGAACCAACTTTTTCAGAACCCCGGAATTTAATTAAAAGCTTACACCAACCAGGGGAACGCCTAATCAGGAAAAAGCAGCCAAAGCTCAGCAAATAGTCCAGCAATTCCACTCCTGGGTCTGGACCCAGGAGAACTGATAACATATGTCCACATGAAAATCTGTACACAAACATTCATAGCAGCATTAACAATAAATAAAAGCAAAAACAATGCTTCGTCAAATGACAAATGAATAAACAACATTGGGTACACTATCAATTAATATTATTCAGTCATAGAAAGGAAGTGATGATACATGCTAGAGCAGGGATGATTCTCGAAGACATTATACTAAGTGAAAAAAACCAGTCCCAAAAAACTATATATTGGATAATTCCATCTATATGAAGTGTCCAGAATAAGTGAATCCATATAGACAGAAAGCAGATTAATGGTTGCCAGAAGATGGGGAACAGGGAGTGACTTTAATAGGTCTGGGGTTTCCTCTGGGATGATGAAAATGTTTGGAGCTGAGGTGATGGTTATACAATATTGTGAATGCACTAAAAGCCACTGAACTGTACACTTTAAAATGGTTTAAATGGTAAATTTCATGTTACGCAAATTTTATCTCAATAAAAAAATACTATGGTATTCAGATTCCATTAGCACTACATTAACACTATGATAAAATTTCATTTGAAAATTCAGTATTTTCAATATTCTTGAAATTACCATTTTTGTCACCATTTAAACCAGAATGAAAAAAAGTTTAGATACTACTTTTAAAATGTGTGTCACATGTTGGGGGGTAGGTTGGGTCAAATGAAACTGCTGATATTTGGACATTTTTCGCCTGCAAAATGTCTCACTTTTCTGAATTTCCCCCACATATGTATTTTTGTAAATGGATGGAGATGGGTATTAAATTACTATGGTAGGTGAAATATCAGTAAAAATGGCAGAGCATGGAATTCCCAAAGTCTGCCCCTCCACAAAAGCAATGAATAAATAAACTGGCTAAATAAACCACAAAAGCAATGAATAAATAAGCTGGCAAAATATCTTATATGATTCAATCTAATCGCTTTTCGATTTTTCTAGAAGATACATGAACAAACAAGTTTAAAGACTGCTGACACAGAAGATTTGATAAAGAAGGTAAATTTAGCATCTGCTAAGCGGGGGGTAGCTTTGGGTGAGAAGGAACCTTCCAAGGGGGTGTATGTCAGGAGAGGCAGCATGCCAGAGCTGCAATCCTGGCTGGGCAGCTAGGCTTCCAGTACTTTCCCACTTGCTTGCTACGGAGGTTCAGCTTCCTGGCCTGTGAAGTGGAGATAAAACTAGTACTTGACTGCATAGGGTGATTCTGAGGACGAAACCACCCAATAGAGGGAGCTTAAACAATACTGTGTTAGTATGTGCTGTGTCGGCCGTCGATTGATACAAGCAGTCCTCATAACCAACAAGCACCAGCTCTTGGTGTCATAAAACAATAAGCATCTGTATCACGGGAGACCGAAGTTTACCTCACATTATGTTTATCTGTTCTGATGAAATTACCTGCAGGATGGGTTGGTAAAGACATGGGTTTATTAACACTTACAAGAGGAACTGAGGGTGATGGTTGGTACAAAGCTCTCCACACCCTAATTGATGTGGGAAGAGTTTATAGACTCCCAGCTGGTCAAGGCAGCAAGACACAAACAGCAGCATCACATGCAAAGAAGCAGACACAACGATGTGCTCTCTTGGTAACTGCCTTGAGCACGCGGGTGTGTGTAGACCCAAGGGCATTCCGATAGGGCACAGTTGTCCTTGGCCAAGGGTCATCCTCCTGATTAGAGAACGGTCCTCAGCAGGGGAGGGGAGGAGGCATTTGTCCTGCGCTGATCCCATGAAATCTCTCTCTCACGCTATGCCTGGGGATTGATTAGACCTGCCTCGGGCTGCAGGCTGGGTCCATGTCTGCTCTGAGAGTCTCTGGTCCTCCAGTTAGCCAAGGCATGTTCTTTTCATGGAAAAGGGCATGAACACAAGAAGGTGCTAATCTCCTTCTCTGAAATAAAGTTTTTCCTTAAGTTTTTCATTTTTTTAATACGTTTTTCTAAACGCTCGTGTTTTTATTGGAATTCCAATAGAGAATACATTCTTATTCATGAAAAAATTCCTTGATCGTAACCAGATTCAGGTTTTAGTCAAAAGCACTGGCTGGTACGCCCCAGTCTTTGAAACTGTCTGCTTTCCATCTGCACCAGGGAAGCTACGTGAATCCCACACAACACAGATAAAGAGAAATGGAGAAATTGCATTTCCTTGGATTCCAAATCCATTTTGATAATAATTTTCTCCTCCCTTCTTTTTGCAAGCCAATTTTTGTGTACTGCCTGAGCAATTTTGTAGCACTTACTAAAGATAAATAATTTGGAAGACACATAACACATGCTAGCTGAGAGAAGGAAGTTTCTTGCTGGGGAGGTGAGGCAGAAAGATTCAAGGGGAACTTACATTTCTTTCCATACTTTGGCCTGTATGCTTTGTTATCAGAAACGAACAATCATTTTACCTTCTTCGGTTTTCTGGTGAGTAAACAAGGAAAGATTGCTTTGAGAAAGATACTTAATGGGAAAAGTTGAAGTATTACACCCTTGCAGATAACTCAAGTATATAAGCCAGGGGAATAATTTATCAATTCTTCCCTCCTGAACAGTCTGTTTAACTTGTGAGATTTGATAATAAAATAAATAAAATCAACACGTTTCTTTCCATCTAGTACTGCTGTAAATTGTGTGCGAAGTTATTTCATGTGTCTGGCCAGGCTGAAAACACCTTGAGATCAAGCCTTTTCTACTAATGTGTAAGGTGGAAGAGTCCTTCTGGTCACAAAGCAAGAGAGAAGTACATAATGTGGCTTTCAAACACTAATGCTTATTTCTGGGAAGAAAATTCTAACTGGCAATGACTGAGTGTGAATACTATCCACTTGGTTTTGTTGACAGCTGTTCTTCCTAATTGGGGTTTAAATGTCTTATACGTGGTTCTGTTTCTTTTGAGTGGGGGAGCTGTCTGTCGCCCAGCCCCTGAGATGGAAGGTGTAATGTCACAGGAAGCCCCAGCTACCCTTTTTCCCTCTGAAATTCTAAAAGAAATGATGATGTCTTTGGATCTCATGTTTGACTTCTCAGCCTTAAGAAATGTGTATGTAAGACACTCTCTCAACATCTTTCATGACATGAGAAAATACTATTTCTAAGTGAAAAAAATGGAATACAAACTGTTTAAATAGTATAACTCCCCTTGATCTAGAAATAAATACGGTTATTTGGAAGAAAATACACCTAGATATTAATGGGGGCTTAGAATAATTATTCCCCCTCATGTATTATCTTGTATTTATGAACTATTTAGACCATATGACTTTCATAACATTAAAAGTTCCTAAAAATTATGACATAGCTTCTTCTCCCCCTCCATTCTTGAAATATGCTGGAAAAACCCATTTAATACATTAAAAACAAGCTACAAAAGGGACTTTTCTAGGTCTCCCCCAATTTCTCTCTTCTGACATCTTTTTTTTTTTCTTTGTTCTCTCCTTAGAGAGATCTCAGTTAAAGCTGATTGTTACCATGTAAACACCTCGGCCCTGGTATCAGGTTTTGCCTTGACCTATAGTTCTTGTGCTACAACACGGACTGCCTGCCAGGAACTCTGTATGGACACCTGGTAAGTATACACAATATACCCCCAAACAAACTCATGACTTGTCCTCCTGGGCCTGCTATCCTACTGCTTTCCCTGTTTCTGTTAATAACACTATTCTCTTGGCCATTAAGAAATCTCACTGCTATCCATCATCTTTCACTTGCAAACAACTGCTATCATATTCTCTTAGTAGTGTTGCTCACACTTCATTGTTCCTGCATTTCCACTGGCAGTAACCTAGTTACGTATAGCTCTCACTTGGAATGACAGCACTGCACTTGCCAAACACTTCACATGTATTCACTTAATCATCACAGCAGCCCTGTAAGGTAGGTATTTTTTTTTCCTGATATATATATTTCATTTTAAAGATGTGGGATACGATTCAGGAATAGGTATACAGTGGATATTGCACAAGTAAAGTTTGGGCCTCCCTTTGGTCCCCGCTTTGTTTGGTTTGAGATTGATGTTGTGTCCTCACCTTTCTCTCCCCTGTATCCTGCTACTGCCAATCCCTTTCTTATAGTATTATGGTCAATGTGTAGGGTCCGCTTATGAATGAGAACATGCGGCACTCTTCTTATCCTCCCTGTTTTAGGGTAACTTACCCCAGCTCACAAAGTCGACAAGCAGAGCTGGGATCTGAACCCAGACATTCTAGTATCAGAGACTGTATGCATAACTCTGCCACACAGCCTCCTGGTTCAGTAATGGCAAAAATGACTTCACTTTAATTTTTGCTACAACCCTCTAAAAGTATATTATCCCTATTTTAGAGATTTGAAAACCAAGGTTTAAAGAGTTTGATAACAGAAACACCTCATGAGCTAAGTCGGCCCGCTCACTCACCTGTCTCTATCAGATGAATCTTCTAAATGCACCTTTCTGATTATTCCTTAAACAAGAAGCAAGCAAGCAAGCAAAAAAAAAAAGCAACGTCCCTCATGGTCCAGGCTGCTTCGTTGGACATTCAGGGGCACCCTCCAGACACCTGTGCCTTTTCCAGCTTTATCTGCCACTTTCCCCTCCAGCTGGGCAGGTCTCCAGCGCACACCTGGCTACACCTCAGATCCTGTCTCTACTCATGCGAGTCCAAGCCTCTATTTTCACACCTCACTACCCACCCAATTGCCATGCATATACTTTCCTTTGCCAAGGTTCATCTGGAATGTTCGCTAAACAGGGAGGACTTCTCTGCCAGATAGACCCTGGAAAGAGAAAAATCATTTAGTTTTTTCCAAAGTGGGAAAACAAGGCTTCTTGCTTTCTCTCCTGCGATGGTGTCCCATGGTGAATGTCATCCATTCAACAATGTATATATAAAGTAATCATAGTAAAAAAGATTGATGTGAGTGAGCAGAGTAGAAGCAAGAGACAGACTGAATGTCTTTGTGTTATTAACCCTGAGAATGATGGCTTGGAGGGTGCCAGCTTCGAGACCTCTTGAGCACAGATGGCTCTTTTGCACGGGTCTTCTGCTGTGAGCTGCAGCAGAGGTTTTCATCTGTTCTTCCTCTCCTCCTTCTTCTCCTCCACTTCCTCCTTCTTCTATCCCTTTTTCTCAGACCCTTTTGTTGAAGAAAGTCTTACCAGAAGGCTCGATGTTAATGACGGATTAAAACAGAGCTGCTCTGCTGTGGGCGAGGTAGGGAGACCGATGCCATCTTCCCTGGCTGCTCCCTTGCGAGTCCCCTCCCTGCACCCGAGGAATTCTGCAGAGACCAACTTCCAAGCCTGCGTGGGCGGTGTGTGTGTGTTTGGGTCCACACCCTGCTTGGCAATGGGATAGAGAAGGTGATTCCAACATACTCACCGCCCCCTTTTTTTCTAAATTCCATGCTTTTATATTCCGGGCTTGCTGGAACTTAGATTGAATTGTAACCCAAGAAAGACTTGATGGGCTGCTTTCATATGATGAGGATTCTGGGAGATATACAAAGCAGTTGTGAGGTCAAGACTGTCCCCTTCCTGAGACTCCAGAATCCTAGATTTTTCAGTTCTGAGGTCTTGCTTGGAATTCAGTTTGTCTATTTGCCTCCTAGACAACCTCTGCTTGGAGGTCCTACTCTTGACCTCAACTCAACATATCTAAACCTGAAACAAACCAAGTAAACCAAGTCATTTGTGACATCCACATCAGAGTTGTCTGGTGAAAGAGAAGCACCACGGAGGAGCGGTGGCAGACAGTGAGGATCATCAAAGTGACAAAAATACCTGGGGACAGGCCAGGTGCAGTGGCTCATACCTGTATTCCCAGCACATTGGCAGGCCAAAGCAGGAGGATTGCTTGAGCCCGGGAGTTTGAGACCAGTCTAGGCATCATAGCAAGATTCTGCCTCTGCAAAAAAATTTAAAAATTAGTGAGGCCTGGTGGGGCGCGCCGGTAGTTATTCTGGAGGCTGAGATGGGAGGATCGCTTGAACCCAGGAGATAGTTTGAGGCTACAGTGAGCCATGGGCATGCCACTGCAATCCAGCCTAGGTGACAGCCTGAAACCTGGACTCAACAACAACAAAAATGGGGACAGCCAAGAGCTGTCCACCATGCATAAGGAGATGTGTCCCAGAATGACCATGTACCTACGACCTTGACAATCTCTGTTCTCGCCCTCTTGTTCACATTCCTATGTTGATGTAACTGCAGACTTGAAAATATGTATTTTATATATAAATGGCTTTTAACTGCAAGCCAATAACTACATCTACAATTCAGCCACATAAAATCTGTTCTAAAAATGGAAAGAAAAACGAACCCAATGGACATCCTAAAAGAAGGCACACTATACACGAAACCTTATTTATTATAAGTCCTGGGTGATGATTGGTATTTTCAAGGGTAATTGTGAACCCACCTTATATGCTTACTTTACAAACAGACCCTTGCATACACTGAGTTCATTGTATTTGATTTTGCCAGAGAGAGAAAACCCAGGATTGCAGGGCGGCAGACTGTGGCTTAATGCAATGCAGAACTCCTAATGAGAGCATTGTCTACAGTGAGACTGGAGGTCCAGGAGGCAGTGTGCTTTCTTTCGCAATGCAGACACCAGCTGGGGTGCAGTACTGCATTCGGAGGGAGGCTGGATGGAAAGCCCTTCAAAGTCCTTCCAGCAGAACGTTTTATGAGCATACAAATGTAAGTCACTCGGAGGTCAGGGAGGCGAGAAACTAAAAGTAGAAGGAGTTTTGGCAGAGGGGTCCTCCTGATGGAGGAGGTTGTCAGTGATTGCTTGAAGGGCTGCGAGGTTTGGGAAAAGGGGCGGGGAACAAACGTCGTTCCGGGCAGGGAAGAAACTTGATGTCAGAGGTGCCAAGAGGCTGTAGCGGAGAGCAAAGAGGGCAGCCAGTGCTGGTGGAGAAAAAGGAGATACCACAGAAAGAACTCCTGGGAAAAGTGGGAGTGGAACCATGTTTAATGCAGTGGTGAGCTTAGCACAAACCTGGTAGCTGTTCATACATTATCTGAGAAACCTGACAGTTGCCTGAGGCCATGTGAACAAGGGAGCAGCTCTGAAGGGCACAGAGGTGGAAGAACGGCATGCAGGTTACATCATCTTCCCCAGTGCCGAGGAACCAGGATATCTTGAGTGCAGGGGGTGGCTTCTGACAGGGGATCCCAGTGGAATCAAGGCAGACACCTTCTCGTAGTTGTCCCTCGTCCTGTCCTTGTCTAGATGGAGATGAAGGGGCGGCAAGGAGAATCTGTAAACATCCTATTAAAGCCAGAGCATGACATTTTAAGCACTTTCTTTTCACCACAGTGGTGAAAACAGACTTATAAAGATCTTTTGTTAGTGAGCAAATAAGAACAGATCAAGGATTGAGGAGGCGAGCCAGACATGGAATTGTTTTCAAAACACCTTCAAGGGATTCTCTGT